AAAATTTTCACGAGGCCGTAGGTGATACTCAAGAGCGCGGGAACGCTGAATTTGAATGGGCAAGGTCGAGTGTGGGCAGGGAGTAATGACCCTAAAATTACAGCTTCCTGGACCTCGTGATTCCCGAGATATTAACTTACCCATAAAAAACTTTCACTAGCTCGTAGGTAATACCCGAGAGCGCGGGAACACTGAATTTGAATGGGCAAGGTTGTGCGTGGGTAGGGCATCATTACCCTAAATTACAGCTTCCTGGACCCCGTGATTCCCGAGATATTAATTTACCCGTAAAAAACTTTCACGGGGCCGTACGTGTTACCCGCGGATATAGGAAGGCTGAATTTGAATGAGCAAATTGTTGAGCGTGGGCAGGGGGTCATTACTCTAAAATTTCAGCCTCCTAGAGTCCGTGGTTCCCGAGATTTACCCGTAAAAAACTTTCACGGAGCCGTACGTGCTACCCGCGGGTACGGGGAAGCTGAATTTAAATTTGCGGAGTCAAACGTGGGTAGGGAATGTTACCCTAAATTTTCAGCTTCCTAATTTTTGTGGTTCCCGAGTTGAAAGATGCGGACACACACACAACTCACACACACACACACACACATACACACAGAGACAACCCCGTGACAATATGCGTTTTGTATGGCTGTTACATAGCAAAAAACGCATAAAAACGTGCCAACCGTGTCCCAACTCAAACTCCATTGCTTTCCCACACGTAAGATCTAGGCTTACCACAAAGCTAGACATAAGATCATCAGGTCGCAAATGAACGCAGAATATCGTTGTAGGATGTCAGATGGCTTACTTAACTAGCTTCTAAAACCCCTTTCGGTCATATCTTTGACGTACCCATACACATGACGTAGGCGCGCATGATAACTAAGTTTAAAATTAAAGGAATTTTTTTCTGCCCGCGTGCAATCTAAAGATTGAACAACTAAAGACAGGACACCATCCTGAAATTTTAACTTCTCATTCTATTTGGTTCCCGAGTTACTAAATTCCCTATCGAAAATTTCTCATTCCCGTACGTGAAATGCGGGGGGTTCGTGACAGCTGACTTTGAACTTGCAACATCGCACATAAAAAGAAAACACTTGTTCTTTGTCTCGTCTTGGTGCCGAACTAAAAATTTCCCATGTGAATTTTCACGTGTCCGTACGATAAACTGAATTTGAAATTCCAGAGTTGTACACTGACGGGAATTATCATTCTAAATTCCCTGTTTTTCATATCGCCGGGCTTCTGAGGCAAAAACTTTGCGCCAAAACTTACATATATGCGTACGTGAGGCCTAGGGGTGCTTGAAAGCTGAGTTTAAATTTAAATGGTCACACCCGGCAAGGAAACGTGCAAACCGTCGCCAGCACCACCAGGACAATTGCAGCCTGTATCGTCAGCGAAAGCACCGCTAGGACAACTACGGCCGTCACTATCGGGAAAATGTTTTTCTCCTAAAATTTCAGCTTTCTAAATTCTTTGTTTTTTCGGAAAATTTTTTGTTAAACTTCCACATATCTGTACGTGAGGCCTAAGTGCACATGAGCGCTAAAATTGAGTTTGTGCGGTTGCGTAGGGACGGAACACACCCTCGTAAAGTTCAGCGTTTTAGCTTTTCAGGCTCCGGGCTAATTTCACTGCCAAAACTTTCTCGTGTCCGTACTTGTATCCTAGGGGTGCATGGTATCTGAATTTAAATCTGTGGGGTCATACTTGGGCATGGAACATTCCCATAAAATTTAAGCTTTCAAGCTTTTTTGACTCCTGAACTGAAAACCTCGGATAAAACGCGTCCTGAACACACACATATAAACGCACGCACACAGACACATACGCAAGCATACACACACACACATACATGCACAGGGTCACAACAGCATGCTTTTTGTGTAACTGCTACAGCACAAAACGCGTAAAAATTGGTAAGGTGTCATTGGCTTACTATTTAGACATCGGCAGTGCCGTGAAAACTGCGCCATCTGAAAGTCGCACGCTCTCCAGTAATCACAAATGGAAAGCACGTACTCGCGATCCGGCGAGGAAATTTGCCGAAATTTCATTGCGACTTTCCACATCCAGCATATACTGCCATGTGTCTTCGGCATACTCCTCGCAGTAAATAACCACCTCATCGAATTTACTTTTTTGCTCATGCTTCTCAGTGTCCAGCTGTTCCTTGGCTGTTGGCTGTTCCTCGACCACAGCCTTTTTCTCATCCTGCATGCCCTGATCGCGCGTGACCAAATCTGCTTCGGCCGACAATGACTTCTGCAATTTTGGCTTTTCTTTGCGTGCAGCAAAACTAGCACCAGCAGCTTTCCCTGCAGCAGAAGTACGTCTCGGGCGCAAGTGCATTCCGCCGGCTGTTATTCGGGGAACGAACTCTGCCAATCCCTAAATTATGAAATGCACTAAAACTCAGAATAAGACGCATACTATTGACTGGACGATACAATAAAATTATTTCTAACCCTCCTACTAGAATAGTACTGAAAAGCATAATTTCCAAAAAGAATTCTAGAGGCAGTGCTTTGGTTTACATTTTTCAAAAAGACGCCTTTCCGTCAATTTCTGAAATAATTTCTGTGATATAGGACGCATCATGTGAAAAGTAACACAAAAGTACTCTCCCCATCCCCCCAAAAAAGCCAAGGAGGTAGATTTTTTACGGAACTGCTATCGAAATGCAAAATACGGAACTGCTAAATTCAAAATGAAAAATCCAAATTCTGCACCCACATCCTTTAACAAAACTAACACCTTTCTGGCCTCTCTACAGACTGCTGAGCAGACAGGTTCCAAATTTTTACTTGATTAAAAAAAAATTTTACCTTACGGAGAGAAACGCGGCTTTTCTGCTTCTCCTCCTGCGATTTCGCGCGCGATCTTTTGGGTGATGCTGAAAGTGAGCGACGGATCTTCTTTGTGATCAAAGAAATAGATATCTTCTCCTTCTCACCTTTATCGTCCGCTTTCCCATCCTTTGCTGCTGCATTTTTCACGTCCGCCAAAGCTGCTCGAGCTTCCTGGCGTACCGGTGCAACGTTTGATTCGTTCTCGTTACCCTTCCCAAGAAGACCACTTGTAAGTCTTCTCAGTCTCTGAAAAAAGCACCACTGTTCAACAAAAAATTTCTCCACTGCCCGCTCTTAACACAATACTTCAGCTTAACTTGCTTGCCGGGCTGTTGCAATAGGCCGCGACGACGGTTGCAATATAATCAAACGGAATTCGATTTCTTTAGACCGCAGGAAGGCTATCTTACCCAAGAAGTACCAATTCGAGCACTAAGACAGCGGAAGAAATTTGCAGACAAGCAGTCTGTAGTAGTGAGCACAGTGGTCGGAATGAATTTCAACTTCATGGGTCCTCTCAATCTGGGTATCGAAATGCCAGAATAACACCACAACCTCTTGACAATATGCTTTTTTGCAGTGCATCAGTGATGCAAAAACACATGGAAAAGAACCTTTCGCCACGTGAATGCCAATGGCCACAAAAAAAAAAAAATCTTGCATCTGGCTGACATCTCCCTGACACCACATAAATAGTGTGTGGTGCTTAAGGGGGGAAAACGACCAGTAGCCTTGCACAGGCACAAACCGGGGAAAAGGGTTTGGAGCAAGCAAGCGTTTGGTTTGTAAGCAAAAATCAAGGGCATCAAGTACAGTAGTCCGGACAACTTCAAGGACCCCAAAACAATTTTCTGCTGTCAAACAGTACAAAAATAGTCTGTATGAAATGGAAAAAATAATGCTAGCATCTTGTTGCGCAAAATTTTAGGAGAAACATATCGCGTAAACTTGGCTAACTTAAGCCAAAAAACTATAACCTCCAAAAGGAAAAATCTTTACAAATTATAATAATGTCACTTTGGGGACGCTCCCCTAACGTCTGCCAAAATATATTTCAACCTGCATATTTGTTCTGCAGCAGCAAGCGTGATGCCAGTGCTCGTAAGCAACGCAAAAAGACCGATTATTCCAAAAACCCGCTTCTATTACCGTATCTTCCATTGTGCCTTTCGCGCAGCAACGATCCCGATGCAAAATTTAGCCAAACGGACGTAAAACATCGCTTAAAGAGGACATAAAAATAAGAAATGCTAAGCAGCAGCAATAAAAGCTGGACAGACAAACTGGTCCAGGAACGCGCAGTTCGGCACTGAAACTGAGGGGAATTACTCGCAAAAAGCAAAAGGGAGAGGATCCTTGACCAAAAAACGCGAGGACCGGAATGAATTGCGTGGAAACGCAGGAGCTACACCACGAAACAGCCGAGCTACGTAAATGCAGCGCAAATATGAGAATTCGCAATCACACTTACTCCGTGTCGAACCTCGTCAGCTTCGCCAGCTTTCTGCTTTCCGGCCTTCGTTGGTGCGTTTTCCTTGTTGCGCTCCTGCCGT